ACAGACCGATAGTCTCATATGACTGAGTAATCTGATATGATTTGTCACTTTAGAAATAAACCTGTCAATTTTACCGGTTCTCTACAGAAAAGAAGCCGATAGTTCAAACTGAGGTGTGTAATAAAAACTCGATATTTGTTTTGTCTCGTGTTGTCTCTTTTATAAACATGTTTGCATTTTTCAAGTTATCTCAACCCCCTTAGTGATTTTTACATGCTCCACATGAGGCCTGTTCTCACTCCTCTATTTTCCACTCGCTCGGGAGAGCAACGGCTGACCCTGAATAAGGTGGGTTTAGGCCTTTCTTAATAAGCGATCGCGGACGATCAGCGACAGCGCTTAAAGATGTGGTGGGTTCCCTCCTGACAGGGGTTCACTGTACAAAACACCACATATCTGTGGTCAGCGCTTTGACGTGGCAAGTGTGACCCGCAACTAAATATGGCCATTGACCCTGGTCGGGATCCATTGTTCGACGAGGTTTTCCAGCGGAGGCGAATTAACCGAAACCTGGCAACCGGCTAATCTGGAATATCATTACTGCTTTGCAGTCCGCGTTCGGTTGCGCAAAGGCTAGCGTGCACCCTGGAACAAGGCCTAATCTGGACCAAGTGACTGATTAGTACAATATCTCGCAACACAAACAACCATGACCTTTTGTACTCTTATGAATTTGCACTTTAAAGCTTCTTCATCCAGCAAAAGCATTCTACACCGTACACATCCTTGTGTTTCCTCTGCCTTTCCTCATTTAACCTCTACCCCCCCTCACATTCCTCCTTCTCTCTTGGGTTCTCCAAACGATCGTGCTAACAGTAGTCCCTCGGATGGAAATTCCGCCGCTGTTCTCTCGTGTCCTACCTTGGCTACTGTCCAAGTCCCATCGAATCCTCCACCAACTGAAGCTCTTCTTTGTCCTCGATGTTTGTTCAAACTAACCGTATTTAATATGCGTACTCTGATGCGTATAGGACAACAGGCGTGTTTAACGAGACACTAGCCATCGATGTGTGTTGCATCCAAGGAACTCGCATTCCGGATTCCAGCTCCATTATCCGATTAACGTCCCCATCAAACCAATACGCGACGTTTCACTTACACCTCTTTGGGCACCCTGAGGCTGCCGTTTCCGGTCTTGCTGGCGTTGGTGTGGCTCTCAGTGAGAGAGTTGAAATCGCGCTTCTGGATATGATCCCATCGTACAGCAGGGTGTGCGTAATGAGACTCAGAGGTTCGTGCAAAGGAAGCAGCCGTCGTCCCGATAGACGAAACTTGTTTATCGTGTCTGCATA